TCAGCGCGAGACCAATAAAACCTGGGTTCTAATCCCGCAAGCGAAATCGTGGATGTGCACTGCTACTGAGGAGTTCCACAGTAAGACGAAATGGCCTTCCAGTGCTTCTAGGTTTTCCATGTTGATCTAGCATTAATTGACTCAAGAAATTAAACTATAAAATTAGGTAGGTGTTCGAAAAGGCCACAACTTTAAGATGTACTCACTGAAAACAAACTAAATGAAGCAATTATATAATGACAAAAAAGTAGGTCGACAAGTATTGAATATGTAGATCTATAGTTGAAAGCTGTGTGTTTCTTTCACTTCAAAGAACTCTTGAATTGACCAGCTCCACTGAACCTACCCAACATCGAGGCAGCATCCACGGACCTCCCAATCAATGTTGGCCCACCAACAATTGAAGAAATCAGCATGGCCATCAGACAAATCAAGAGTGGCAAAGCAGCAGGATCAGACAACATTCTAGCAGAGGCACTAAAAGCATATGTAGCGGCAACTGCAAGGATACTCCACATTTTCTTCAATAAGATTTGGGATGAGGAACAAGTACCAACAAACTGGAAAGAAGGACTTCTGATCAAAATACCGAAGAAAGGCGATCTCAGCAACTGCGATAACTACAAGGGAATCACTCTTCTTCCAATACCAGGAAAAGTCTTCAACAGGGTATTATTAAACAGGATGAAGGACTACGTAGACGCACAACTTCGTGACCAACAGGCAGGATTCCGTTAGGATGGATCGTGTACAGACCAAATCGCAACTCTACGGATCATTGTGGAACAATCAATGAAATGGAATTCATCACTCTACATCAACTTCATTGACTACGAAAAAGCATTTGACAGCGTGAACAGAACAACACTATGGAAGCTTCTTCGACACTACGGCGTGCCTCAGAAGATAGTCAATATCATACGGAATTCCTATGATGGATTAAACTGCAAAATCGTGCATAAAGGACAGTTGACAAAGTCGTTCGAAATAAAGACCGGTGTCAGGCAAGGTTGCTTACTCTCACCCTTTCTCTTTCTCCTAGTGATCGACTGGATCATGAAGACGTCAACATCTGAAGGGAAGCACGGGATACAATGGACATCTAGGATGCAATTGGACGATCTAGACTTCTCAGATGATCTGGCCCTTCTATCCCAAACGCAACAACAAATGCAGGAGAAGACTAACAGTGTAGCAGAAGCCTCAGCAGCAGTAGGTCTCAATATACACAAAGGGAAGAGCAAGGTTCGCCGATACAACACAGCATGCACCAATCCAATCACAATTGACAGCGAAGATTTGGAAGATGTAAAAAACGTTTAGATATCTGGGCAGCATCATTAATGAACAGGGTGGATCTGATGCAGATGTGAAGGCGCGGATCGGCAAAGCAAGAGCAGCATATTTACAACTAAGGAACATCTGGAACTCAAAGCAACTGTCAACCAACACCAAGGTCAGGATTTTCAATACAAATGTCAAGACAGTTCTACTGTGTGGGGCGGAAACCTGGAGAACTACGAAAGCCATCATCCAGAAGATACAGGTGTTTATTAACTGTTGTCTACGCCAAATACTTTGAATCCGTTGGCCGGACACTATTAGCAACAACGTACTGTGGGAGAGAACAAACCAGATGCCAGCGGAGGAAGAAATCAGAAAGAAGCGCTGGAAGTGGATAGGACACACATTGAGGAAAGCACCCAACTGCGTCACAAGACAAGCCCTCACATGGAATCCTCAAGGCCGAAGGAGGAGAGGAAGACCAAAGAACACATTACGCCGAGAAATGGAGATAGCCATGAGAAAAATGAACAAGAATTGGATGGAACTAGAAAAGAAGGCCCAGTACAGAGTGGGTTGGAGAATGTTGGTCGGCGGCCTATGCTCCATCGGAAGTAACAGGCGTAAGTAAGTAATTATTTGTTTGCAAATTTAGTGTAGACAAAAGTTTACTGTCTTTCAGGCAAGTGGTTATGCAAAACATTTGTTCAATACGACGGTAATATTTATTATGAACTGACAATATCTTTAAAATAAGTCATCAAAAATCTGAAAGCATTGAACGAACTTCGCTTCTTTGTACAAGATTCTTGAAAAAAACATACCCTGGATACTATTGCGAATAGAAGCTAGTACGTTTAGGTTTTGTTATGAGTGGTGGTCTAATGCTAATCAAGTTCGACTTCAGTTAATTGATTATTACTGCTAATAATAATTGTATCACTGTCGTAATTCGTAAATGTGTGTGATTGTGTACCATAGTGGTATTCTATACTATGAAATATCATATATTAAATATTTCAGGAATGTTTTTAAAGATTAGCCAACTGATATCAGTTTATCATGAAAGCTATTCAGGGGATCTGATTTTGAATGCTTCAACATACATCTCAATTAGCATGCGATATATTAGATAATATTTGTCTTACGCTCATAGATGTTAGTGGCTAACTAGACTCTATAGGTCCTTGGATAATGGGCTTGGTGTTTCTTAAGTGAAACTTATTGAATTGAAGTCAGAGAGTGAATACCAACACTGGAATGAACTAACATCTAGCTGACTAGGTTGAAGTAAAAATTCACTGATAATCACCTGCATCAAGCTATAATGACTAATCTGTTCAGAGTGTACATATTCCAGCATAGACTGATACACTAAACTCATGAAAATCAACTAAGTAACATCTAAAGTTGAAAAAAAATACAACATAGATACCATTTAACTTCTTACTTTTGCCATACGTAAATAAAAAAGTATGGTGCTAGTTAAGCTGACAAAATAGACTCAACAAATCATTGTTTTACGTCATATACATAGAGTATGAATTCTAAAAATCAATGAGAAATTGAAGTTAATTAATGAATTTCGTGGATTGGTTGAGGTTAGACATTAATACCATCGGATGCCAGTAGGCTCAGTTGTCCAGTAAGTTAAGTGTTCGCGCGAGAAACTGGAGGTTCGTGGATGCTCACCGCTGAGGATTCCCACAATAGGACGAACCGGCCTTCCAGTCCTTCCAGGTTTTTAATGGTGGTCTAACACCAATCGGTTCATGATCCCAATCAAAAAAAGAAATTTTTGATTTTACTACTCAAGAAAAAAATAGGTAGTATAAATTAAATATCTATATTCTTTAATGTAGAATACTTAAAAATGGTTATTAACACTATGGTGTGGGTTACTTACATCCACATAAGTAATATATAACTATGGTCAGTCATAGAATGTATTTCAGCAGAAGATCGATAAAGAAAGAACGGAAATGATACTCAGTTGGTATGAAAATGCATGAACAATGAAATCTGAGACAATGGATTGATGTTTGCAAAAGGAACAGTGAAGTTTGAGACGATGGATTGATATTTTGCAAATTAACGATTTACTAAATAGTTCTCAGATTTTATTGAGATGCTCTGTTATTTTGTGTCAAATACACTCGATTGTTCCCATTCATGTTCTTGTTCACTACAATACCACCTCTAATTCCCATTATCAACGGTGAAGAAGGTGTACGCTTCGTTGTTCTTACAGACATTATTAGTATATAACTGATAACTATAATTCATTTTTGTATTGTTTGTTTGAATCTTCCTGTTGATGTTTAGGACTGCAATTAATCAGTCTCTTATCGGCATATGTACATTCTATACGGATTGCCTCAATATTGCCTTAAGTTAAAAGCATTATAAGGGAAACTTGACAATCTTCATAACTCCACAGTGATGATGACCATGTGCTCACAATTGACTAGCTTTGTGAGCGAATTCTCGAAGTTCTAGGGAGAAGCTGTGACCAGTGAAGTTAATCCGTGTTAGGTAGAGAAAGGTATCCACCTAAAACAACGGAAGATGGTCATGCAATTTCGGCTCAGTGGTCTAGATGTTAAGTGTTTGAGCGCCAGACTAACGGTTCTGGTTTCGAATTCCACGTGCGGTTTCATGAGTGCTTACTGCTGATGAGTCCAATACTTTGACGAGACAGCCTTCTAGTACTTACAGGTTTTTAATAATGGTCTAACATTCATCGATTCATGATCCCAATCAGAAAATTATATGCATGGATAGAAGTGGAATGCAGAACTCGCGTTCCCTCCGACTGACGAGTCTCGAGTAGGACGAAACATGCGTCCAAGATTTCACGAATAGTTACCATCCACCTTTATTTACATGATAACTATGTTTTGAAATGAAGAGAGAGTTATTTAAACCATTTATTAAAACAATATCAACCAAGTCTGTTGTGAGATAGGAACTCATTGAAGACAATGATGTACAGTAGCGCAACTTCGTGGATTGGTTGAAGTTAGACATTAACACCGTTGGATGCCGGCTCAGTGGTCTAGTTGATTAAGCGCTTGGCATGAGACTGATAGGTCCTGGGTTCGAATCTCGTGGGGTGCGGGATCGTGGATGCGCACTACTGAGGAGTCCCATACTAGGATGAAACGGACATCCAGGTTTTCCATGGTGGTCTAACTTCAATTGACTGATGATTTCAATCAGTGCAATATCATATATATCAACACAAAACTCCTGTAATCGATTAACAGTTAAGTTCAATGTATGCAATTTATACAATCACTTGTTAATAAATGTTTCTTCTTTACCATTTATATTTGCAAATGTATCAATGCGGGAAAAAAAACACTATGAATTGTCAGTTAAAGGTCAACTTTATTATGTGCATATATATATATATATATATATATATATATATATATATATATATATATATATATATATATATATATATATATATATATATATATATATATGTATCCATGCGTAAATGTATCAGAATATGATTACGTCACAGTGTTTGTACACTTGTCCAAATAGGTCTATGTTAGATAGTTAATAACTTAAGAATGAATAGATGTACATATTGTATATATATATATATATATATATATATATATATATATATATATATATATATATATATATATATATATATATATTACACCTTCATATGTATATGTTTGTATGGTTATATAATTGAATACAAATAATCAACACTTACATAAAAGAAATTGTTATCAAATCTAAAAAGAAACTTGAATTAATATTCAATGCCAAGTTATTAGTAAATATGGTGATAGGCTATCTCTCTCATTGTTTTCAAATGAAATATGTATATGAAAATGAGAGTAGGTGAAGGGTGAATGGAGAATGCTGATTAGTGGCCTATGCTCCTTCGCGAAGTGTTACAGGCATTAGTAAGTAAGTATGTATTTACCATATATAAGATAGTTTTTCTAGTTCAAATCACTATGAATATCATCACTAGTGCTATGGTGTAAATAATAACAATGATAGTCACTAATACATTAACCCTTTTCATTTTGTCTACTAAAGAAACAAATGATTACTAGATGCCACAATAAATTGATGTTGTAATCATTAATGTGAATGTCATACCCTTTTAATATATCACGTGGTATCATATGGTTTCACTGCATAACTCTAAGGTATGCTGTTTGTTACCTAGTTATATCTTGGATGCGTTTTACTGACAGAGATTCCACAGTAGGATAAACTAGCTTTACGATTCTCTATGGTTTCCAATGCGATCCCAACTGTAATCAATCCGTGATGAATTAAACCGGCGAAACTATAGTTCATAGACAACCTTTGAACGAATCTCAAATGATCTTGAGAAATATTAGACAATCAGAGAACAATTAGTAGACAGTAAAAATATATTATACAAAACCAAAGAATTAAAGTGGATAGACTTCTTTTACATGGTTTAAAAATATGTCAGGATTAGAAAAAGGTTCAGAGATTCTAAAATCGTAATGCATACGGTAGAAGAATTTTGTGGCCCGTGGATCTGACTCCTATTTAGATCGTAGGAATGATTGTTATCGTCTATTCTCGTATATAATCGTCGACTTAAATCGCGTCAGTCAATAACGGAATTAAATAAGTCGAATAACGAGAATTGATTTGTGAATACATATATTTTGTATATGAAGTGATTGAAACAGAGCAAAGCAAAATGACACGCAGGGAAGATGGCTGGGAAGCCAACTCCATTTTAGTCAAGCGTTACCCAATATTTATAAGAAGGGCACACACATATACGCTCATATAAAAACAGTCAAGACTGATAAGATAATAATTGACAAGGTCAAAATATGGCTCAAGTAGAATGAATAGAATGGAATGTCCGAAAGCTAGAATAAGATATATGGGCTTAAAATAATGACTGACACTACAAGAACTCATCTAAAAGGCTCTATAATGGACGGCCACTGGAACCATGGTAAGGTTGCAAAATCTGTTTCAGCCTCGACCATATAGCTTAGATATTGTTTGTGTGCACTTCGGTTGTCGGGTCCACAAAATGCAGCTTGTAAACGACGATATAATGCACATAATCAAGTCTATGTAGGCATTTGTACGCTCTCCAGACATTCTTATATATTATAGTACCCGGCTTCAACCAGTGTTACTAGTGCTTTTATTATCCTTTTCTCAATTCATCTCAGTCTCGATCTGATTCGAGCGAAAAAAAACTTTTTTAGCAGACTTCAAAACATGTTACATCGAAAGAGAATATGATCACAGTATTCTGCATAAGTCATGTGATTACCACAATCACAAATAAAAGAACTTCCTTGGTAGTCCTTTTTATTGTAATCACTTAATTATCCAGTTTTCCCTATAATCCGCTGTGAACCGATCGTATGTGAGCATCAGATACTGAAATTGGTGCTGTGACCTTACAATCCGTCAAACGGTTCTGATTGACTCGTCCATAAATTATAGTCTCGCCCATCTGAGTTAATCGGTCATATTTACTTTTATTTGAGTAAAAGTTACAGGTTCGGCTAGACATTTTATCTTTGATAAAACCATCTGAAGTCTTTCACCTTAATACACAGAAAATCAATAGATGCTCTATGAATTATACCATTCTAATCTATACTAGTACTATTTGACCACAACACTCTAACTGTATTTAACTAAATGTATGTAATAATAGCAAAAGACGGGAGATCTTATGTAATTGAACAGTTTAAACCGTCCAGAAGTGTTTTGAAAAAAATACTAATGTGTCGATACCATATTTCTGACTTTGAGAAACAGCAGATAACTGACAGATCAAATGGTTAATCACTCAACGAGTGAACAGAAAAGATTCATGATCAGCATATAGATCTTCAAGTCATGGTAGATCTTCGAGGAGCAAGATTGAGGATTTACCATGTAAAATATGAATGTTATATTCTTCTTATCAGTCACGGATTGCATCAGCTTAGTAAGATGAAATGTATACTATAAATCTACTTATTATTACAAAGTAAAAAGGATTATTCTATTTCAAAACAGACCATTGGAAAATTATTGTTTCTAACCATATCAGCAAGACTTTTCCTTCATAAAACCAATAAAACGATGCGAAAAGCCGTGACCAGTGGAGTCTAATACGTGTCGAGTGGAGACGCATATCAACCTCAGACAATGAACGAAGGGTTGTGCAAGATCATGAGTCGATTGAAATTAAACATTAACGCCAATGGATTCAGGCTCAATTGTCTAGAGGTTAGGCGTTCATGAGCGAGGTTGAAATTCCTAGATGTGGGATCGTGGATGCGCACCCCTGATGAATGAAACGGCTGTCCAGTGATTCCAGGTTTTCAGTGGTAGTTTAGCATAAGTCGACTCGTATATTGCATTATGATGTAATGTTTATATAAAAATGTTATACTCCGTTCTTTCACTAAATAATTGAAAATTATAGTAAGTTATCAGATTCTACCTTGAATAATTAATTCACCTAATGATGGGTACTTGTTAAAGTGACTGAATGTATGACTAACTAAAAATCGTTGATTATCACATTTCAATTGGATAATATATATGTAACCTCTTGCTCACTTCTTTACCAGTTTTTTTAATCAACGATACAGTAATAAAATCCTATCAGTCGAATCACAGCATATCCACTACTTAAAGTGATTCGACTTCACTAGGTACGATACTTAATGTTCTAAATTACTTAATGGTACCATGCTTGACAGTGGCACTCAGTGATGCATCGATTTTCCCAAGGTTAAATTACTACTTTACTGATAGTTTACAACTAACATCCAACTATAATTGTAAGCTTTCTGTCATAAACCGGTTAATTCAACATTTTAAAATGAATTATCTTTTATATTTGGATTCATGAGTCGATTTAAGCTAAACTACTATGAAAAATTCGGAATCACTGGACGATCGTTTCATCCTAGAATGAGAATTTTCAACAATGCGCATCTACGATCCCGAAAATGAGACTCTGAGCTAGGACGTTGAGTTTTGCACGAGAGCACTTAACCTGTAGATCACTGAGCCCTCATCAAACGGTGTTAATGTTTAATTTCAAGTCTAACTTCGTGTCCCGCGTGCATGATCTTGGGTGTGCACTGTTAAAGAGTTTCAGGTTTCCCATGGTGGTCTAGCTTAAATCGACTCATAAATCCAACTATTAATTTACTACACTATCCACAAACTCCCATTCTGCTATTACTTTTTATATGTAGATTGTATCTGATGACTTCAAAAAAACGTAATAACATTATTTATTACATTTCAATTTCCGCATGATTGAATCACAATCTTTACTTCCATTATATTTCAGGAAGTTATGAATAATTCAGCTATGCTCCAACAGATATTATATATGTATCCTTTTTTTTTATTCTTCTTTATTATATAACCTTATCTAGGTCACTAATAGGAAAATGAATATTCAAACAGAATGTAAAGTTATCCTTAGCGTTCTTTTACGTGCTTGTTTGTTTGTTTTTCTGCATCATATGAAATATCTATTTCTCATTATTTTCACATCATCATCATCATCATCATCATCATCATCATCATCATCATCATCATCATCATCATCATCATCATCATCATCATCATCATCATCATCATCATCTTTGTCATATGATTTAAGACAATAATGATTCATTCTGATAGAAATAACTTGGTTTTACAATTGTAATGTTAAAACTAATAATAATATTACCCTTTGGTATTATTTACTTGGATCTTTCCATTGATGTTTAGGACTGTAATTAATCAATCTCTTGTTGGTACATGTGCATATTGTGTGTATTGTCTCGATATAGCCTTAATTCACAAGCATTATAAGTAAAAATGGATAGCTGACGAATCCCAACTAGGACGAAACGCGCGTCCTGGATTCCGCTGCTAGCCGTTATCCATCTTTACTGATAATAATGATAATAGTTATTTCTTAATCAACAATCCATTGTACAGATTAAATGACTTTCAATATCTGTTCATACGTTTATCATGAAGTGAAATCCGTTAGAAAACTATTGAAAGTCAATATCACTAGATAAATATCGGCGCGACTATAATTTATGGACGAACCAATCAGATTCATGATAATAGGTCTTAGATTTCAGTGCGAAATTTTTTATCTATATGGTCTAATAGAGCCTTGGCATTTTAACTGATTTCAGTTCGTGATAAAAACCCTAGATCTAATACTTATCCTTCACACAGGTTTAAAACCCTCAGTTAACCCTAGTCAGTAGGTGAACATTCTTAAGGCCTTTTTTAGCGTCTCTCAAAGGTCGTCCATAAATTATAGTCTCACTCAGATCTTTCTCATCAGTTAAAAACTTGAAAAATTCCCGTGATGTGATTTAGAACAAGATCTATAAGCGAACAATATTGTTTGTGATTAGATCCTCATCAGACAAAGATACAGTAATATTTCTATGCCTATAAGAAATTATTAAACCAATCAAGTCTGTTTGGGATGCAGTGATCACAGTGGAATAGATTACATTAATAAACATGTCAAGTAAAGAGTATAAATTGATAGTGTGATAACAGGTGTAATAGTTGTGATAAGAATAATGAAGGCTTGTATCTATGTTTCGAGTGGGAATTAAATCAATGATTAGAAAAATAAAGACATTGAAATAACATTCATAAAAAAAGCTTGTGATTAAAGGCTATATCGAAGCAATCTGTACAGGATTCACATATGCCAACAAGAGACTGATCGGTTTCAGTCCTTAATTGCAATGTGAAGATACAAGTGAAACAACATCAAGTGAATTTAAACTCCACTCTATTGCATAAGCAGGTGGCTATCAGAACTCAGTAGCTAAATGGATAACATGATGGCGTTTGAATCGAATGGTACTGAGTCTGAGTCCCGGAGTGAACATCAACTCTGGGATGCAGGTATATCTAGCTGATGAGTCCAAAATAGGACGAAACGCGCGTCACTGATTCCACTGCTAGCCAATATCCATCTTTGATTATAAGATTACGTTTCAGGAAGTCTTCAGATAATTGGACCGTAAAATGTATATTTTAGGAAAGAAAAGGGTAAGAGAGTGTGAAGAAAAATAAACGAAGAAATAGTATGCAAAAAAATAATAAACAAAACCACTCATTAAGGCCAAGGGAGAGACAAAGGTGCTACGAATTTCTTATGAACATAAAGATTTGGATTGTTAACTCGAATTCCTATAGCTTCTTCTATGTGTAAGAGACGAGACAGAATTCCATAAGTAAAACTAGTGAGAATATGATAAATAACTTTAAACGAATTAATTCTATCTACTACATCACCGCTATCGATCAAATGTGATAGAACCGAGCTACATATTGTCCTGACAGTACATTATCCTAACCACAAAGGGAGGTGTTCACTAACTCTTTAGCTCAGTCGTCTGGCAATGCGCCCAATATAACTTTCTCCACAGGAGCAGTTGAATTTGTAGATACACATAGAAGTGGCATAAACGAGTAACTTATCCTTTATTTGAGGATATAGTGTGAAACGATTGACATAGGTGAATGAATAAGAATAGGCCGGAGGTCGTTTGGCGTTAGAATTTTAAAAAAAACATTAGGGGTGGGTGATGCAATAATTAAGTGAAGTTCAGAGACAGATAATTTTTCGAGGTAATGAACGGTTTACATAAAATTCATGGAACAACAACTGGTAAAACGGGTTGCGTAATCATTGAACAAGATAACAGGTGTACCATGTTAAAGCGTCATATTACAGTAACTTAGCTGTTAAATACTTTACAACAAATCACATCTCCTGACAACACAATATCTATACACTAATAAACTGTAAATGAAACAAAAGTTTACACTATTAAACAGTTAAAACATAACCCAATATACATCTATAGTCAATGCCAACATTCCATATACAGTCTACTTCAGTAATAAATTATGTTTAGTCTAATGATTTAGTTACATTTTTTTTTATCTAATGGCAATTCGAAAGTAACAAAAAAAGTGGATTGTTACCAGAACTAATCATAATTCAATTAATTGTGCTTGTTTGTTTGTTTGAGTGTGTGTGTTGTCAAGTATGCGAAATGAAAGCTGAACATGTTGAATAATCTATGATCATATATATTTTCGAACTGTACTACATACAATTGCTTTCGACCTTTTCTTAAATTCTATGTGTAAATTTTCTATTCAGACGATTTATTCAAGTATTTTTTTCCTCTCTCTTTCTCTCTATTTATTATTGGCAAAGATTATTGTTCGAGGGATCAGTTGGATAGAACATCTAAAATTTACACAAGATATACTGTGGTGTGTGTTACTTATATTGATATAAGTAGTAGATGATGTTAGTCGTGAACAGAATGTCTGGTAGCAGAAAGACAATAGGATCGAATAGTAAAGAATGGAAACAGAATGTAATTTGTATGAAAATGCAGGAACAATAAAGTCTGAGTCATTTTGAGACAATCGATGGACATTTTGCAAGTTAAGCATTTGCTTTATGATTGTTAGATTTTATTAAAAAGTCCTGTAATTTTCTGTCACATGCATTCAATTGTCCCCACTTGTGTTTCGTTCACTATAATACTACTAATTAATGAATAGAGAAGATATGTAGAAGGTAAAATTTCAACTATCGCTTAACTGGATACTGAATAATTAAAATTACGGACATATTACAATGAAGAATTACATCTATTATTAATCGTCAGTAAGGGATACCAACAATCTAAGGGGAAATAGCGCTTTATGTAGGTCATTCACACTATTGGATAAATAATGACTCGATTGATAGAATTGGATGATCAGTAAAAATATTAGACAAATCTGATATTAAATGGTTGAGTTTATGAGTCAGTTAAAGATAGACCACTATGGAAATTCTGGAATCACTCGTATGGAGGTCCTCAGCAGTGCGTATTCACGATCCCACTTGCATGATTCGAGTCTCGCGCACATAAACGTTTAAAATGTAGACCACTGAATCGGCATCCAATAGTGTTAATCTGTAACTTCAACTAATCCACGAAATTGCACCACCATCCACCATTGTCATCAGTGAGTTGCTATCTTACAACAGACACAGTTGAACTTCACTGGTCACGGCTTCTCACATGAACTCCAGGAAATACCTTTGAAGCCAGTCAATAGTGAGCATATGATTATTATTATTATCAAACTCATGAACTCAACTAATCAATTAATACAATCTGTACAAAACCCCCTTCTGATAAATATATGATATTGATCATTACTCTGGATATAGCTATATAAAAGAATTTGGATATTTGTTCATATATTCTGGGAACAGGAGACTGATAAATGATTGAGTCGACCAATTAACACTTTTATTATTCTGATTACTATAAGTCGGTATTTCCTAAAATTGTATACAATAATAAAGAACAAATCATTAGTACACTAGCTATGCTTAGTTCCCCAAACACACACACACAATAGTAACTATTTCCAAGATGAATTCCAACTGACTTAATGAGAATATGTGATCTGTGTAATTAACTATGTTAAGAGTAAGGCAGTTACTAAATAATGGTACTGAATAATGATCGATATTTATCGAAGACGTAAATATGAACCATTACGGTATGAATTAATATCTGAATGGATACTGTGCTCAAAATGAGATTTGCAGATCATAACTTAATTCCCATATGTAATTGTGTAAAAAAATGTACTACTGATAAGTTCCTAGCATGATTCAAACATGTCAATTCAGTAACTTGTGATTTTCAATAGTTAGCCGGTTATTCTGAGATAATAATTTCAGTTGGAATCATTGTTTTTGGCCGTCCAAAATGTCGATTTTACAAGATGATTAAATTGAAAGGAGTAATTTTTCGGTGAAATTAAAATTAACAGTGAGGTTGTGATTCATGGATGATCTTGGAGTAACGCTGAAACGACCCTGAAAATGTCTACCAACTAACTAGGACTAAAGGAGGGTTATAAAACAATGTGAAGAATTATAATTATGATTTATAGTTGATGATTAGGGTTAAGGACTAGATTTATCGTTTTCATCACGAATTAACATCAGTCGTGATGTTGAAATAGTATTTAACCAAATGAGTGAATGAATTTCGCGGTAAAATCCAAGACCTGTTATCGTAAAGCTGATTATTTCGTTGATAAATTGTAGTTTCACCAAATTAACTATTAAAATGTTTAGATGTTTACAGAACAGTTTAAAAATTCTAGATTACACGTCTAGTGTGTACTTTCAATGATTGTCCGATTAAAGTTGCTCTGTGTTTTAAGGTATTTTATAATGGGGATCTGTGAAGATTATAGTACTTTTAATAGTTGAATTCATGAGTTAATCTAAGCTACACCACCAGTGAAAATCTGGAATCATTGGACAGCCAATTAGTTTTAGTACAAGACTCCTCAGCAATGCGCATCCAGAATTCCGCACGTAGGACTCGAACCCTGGACCTTCGGTCTCGCGCGTGAACGCCTAACCTCTAGACTATTGAGCCTGGATCCGATGGCGTTAATGTTCAGTTTCAATCGATCCATGATCTTACTCAACCCTTCATCTATTGTCTGAGGTTGACAAGTGTCTCCACTCAACACGCATTAGACTCCACTGGTCACAGTTTCTCACTAGAATTACAGGAAATTCATCTTGAATCGA